CCCCCCCCCCCCCCCCCATTTACTAATGAGTTTTGATTGAAGAAAGATAATTAGTTAGTATCTGGGTTTATTGGCCCACAGATTAACTCCTCCAAATAATTGACACACAGTCAGCCCCCCCATAATCTACTCGTGCTTTAATTAATTAGTTAGTGATTATTAATTGATTTCACATTAATCCAAAATGATTAACCATTCTGCATGCATACCCACATATATATATGTAATATTAGCAAAATTATTAGGTGGAAACCAGATTTGGATATGTTTTTTCTATTTTCTAATTTCTTTGCTGCTGGAGGATTTTTTTTTATTTTTTTATTTTTTGTTTGTGAATATTTAAATTAATTTTTTCAGTACACTTATTTATATATATTTTTTTAAAAAAAATAAATTATTATTATTTAATTGAAAACAGTTAATACCATCCAATTTAAAGCTAAACTTGGGTGCGACTACATTCATTAATGTTGATTTATTATTATATTTGAAATTTTATTTTAAATTATTATTTATTAAATTTATTGCACAAATTATATACAATTATATATATATATATATATATTGAGTGAAACTGATAGCTCGAATTATCTTTCACACTATCTTTAAAAAATAAAAAATAAAAAATAAAAAAAGAAATTGTTAAGTTGAAGAGTCCAACACGCAAATGTATATTTTACTCTGGAAAGGCAAATCTAATGGGGAAAAAGTCTTTTGTACTTGAATTTGCATGGCCTTTTTAAAGCATAATATATGTCTTACAACTCCAAGATTGACCATTTGCTTACTTTTCTTCATACACACACACATACACATATATATATATACCCTATATAATACATATACATGTATACATGTGCTCCTATAGTTATAAAGTATTTATGCACATAATCTCAAATCTAAAGTAAATTAATTAGCAGACTCTTCTTTTCTTGTCGACAAATTCAACCTCTTCTATATATATTATTAATAAAGTATTCACAACGTAGAAATGATTATTATATATACTACCTTGATCGTAATGCTTTCCGACACCCAATGAAAAGATATATAGATATATGTATGTGTGTGCGTGTGTATATATATATATATATATAAATATATATTCAACGTAAAATGTAAACAGAAGATGGAGAAAAGAATTTGACTTCTTAGGCAAAGTAATTATGGTTTGTTAAGATAAATTAGCCTTCCATTTTTGACCCTTGCTGGTAATCACCGTAAATTATTATTTATTTATGCATATTAATTAATATTTTCTCATCGGTTGAATTAATTGGATTCATTATTACCCAAAGGAAAAACGAAGAACCCAACAGTCAAAAGTAATGAAATTAACCATGTGATTTTGCCCGTCAGATCTGTTTGATTTAGTTTTCATTTTATTTTTAAATTTATATATACCAAAACTATTGTAAATTCTAATCCACTCACCCAAAAAAAAAAAAAATCATAGAAATAATATCACATAAGAGTAAAACATGAAATAATGATCTTTATGTGTACCCATATCTCATTCTTTTGTTAATATTAAAATACCATTTACTTATATATATATCATTACCATTTTATCATTTTATTTTTCAAATGATTAGTATAATGACAAATTTTAAGAATAATAATAAATAATTAAAATGATAAAAATATATATATATATATATAATCAAATAATCATAGAGATATTGTAAACTTGTTTACGCATTAAATTAAAAACAAAAATCTAAAAGGACTTGTCATAATGCACACTTCGTATGCTAAATTTATGGAAGTAATATTCTATTACTTATTGTATTAGTTGATTTTTTTTTTATTTAAATCTTTATATTTTTTTTTGAGTTGATTTTATTTTTAAACTTTTATATTTTTACTGAATTTATTACTAAAATCAGAACACATAATCAATAACGTGTCAAAATAATAACACGTAAGCGATAAATTAATACA